TCCATAAACGTTGTCGTGGATGGAACTTTGCTATTATATGTTTCTAGAAAGTCTGGAGTACATATGCGAATGAAGAAAACCTTGAAAAAACATGTACATAAGGCTCAGCTGAAAAATTGTGGAGAAAAGCACGATTTCCATGAGGACAGCATCAATCGGCGTTAACGTGCAGTTGTGATCGTGACTCATTAAGGAGAGCTTTTTCCTTATCTCCAAATCAGCTCTAGATGATATGATTGTTTTCGAAAAAGCTGCAGGGTTTGACAACGTTCCTAAATGAAGTTAATTTATGCATGGGGAAGAGAGAGCCGTGTAATCGGATTTACGCGATGATGCAATTGAACAGGTGTAAATCATTGAAAATTAACAATTCACGAAAGGTAACCGGCAAAACACCTAGCAGAGACTATAACATATTTCATACGGAATAAGTGAATAGCAAACGTTGTTTACTACCTATTGTTCCTGAGTAGTAGAGGGATTAGTTTAGTTGTCTCCGTTCTCCATTCTTTCCAAGTTGCCTACGTTCTGAAATGTTTCGGTGGTTTCCCATAATTCGGTGGTAAAATTGATGAACTATCTTTCAAAACTAGTTCTGCCTTGGTTCATACTTCTGAAAACTCCCTTATTTTTTCCTTTTGGGCATTGGAACTCAGTAAATAATGTTTAAGAAAGCAGCATAAAAAGAAATGTTACGAAAAAAATGATTTCAGAGGCATTGAGGCTAAATGTTTTCATTAGTGTTTCGAGGTATTATAAGAAAATTCCATTATAACCTCTGAATCAAATTTAAATGAAAAAAACACAAAACAAAACTAAGGAAAGCACTCCAGAAAACTAACGGATTAATGAAGACAGTTTGCTACTTAAGCCTTCTCCGTAACTTTAGTTACACTACAGCTTTCATCCCTCGGAAAAGCTAAATCACGTCCGGCGGGTTTCTTCCTGTTCCAATGAGCAGCGTTAATACCCTGTGAAACTTGCTTTCCTTTAAATTTTATGATGTCATTTTCCACTTTTTCCTCATTTTTTTTTGGAATATAACCTACCTTATTTTTGCATTTTAAGATGATTAAAGAATAACATCGCACATTAAAAAGGTGTAGGAAATGAGGTGAAATATTGGGGCAAATTGGCAGAAACCATTCAATTTATTTCTTGCGTTTACACTTCGTCAGAAAAGAAAACAATTAAGAATCTATGACAATATAAACTCGTAAGCAGACTCCGCCCTTCGAACCCTCCCTCTCTCTCTTTCTCTTCACCCATTCATTGTTCAGATCGCCAGTCATCTCCCGCCCTTGTTTTGTTTCGTTTTTTCTACGTACGATCACGCACACAAATCTTCTCGTGGCTTAACAACACGGATTCGTGGAACGAATTGCGAATTCGTCGCTGCTAAACGATTTCACACAGCCGTGTCACGTTGTCTCATCTCTCTCGTTTCAAACTCATCGACTTCACTTCAGCTTTGAAGTTCTCGCCCATGCGCGCCGCAGATTTTTCGACTATATAGCGACTTCATTTTTCTCTTCCTACTACCGGTCACAGCACTAAACGTGCCGCTTGCGGTTTCCAAGTGCTTTTCATATCCAGAAACTCTTTCGTATACGCAGAATTCAAATAATCGCTTCCAAATAATGACAGATTACAACAGAATAGCGTAGCGGCGAATGGGAAACAATTTGGTGCTATAGAAACGAAGCTGTTCTCCATTCACTGCTGTTGAAAGACATCAGATTGTTATGAAAATGTAAGACAACAACCGTAATCACCAGCACTTAAGAATCTGTAATGTGAACTGAACGTCTATAGTAATAGTTTATGGAAAATTCTACTCCATTCTTTACCCCTGTGGATACTTCTAAGTTATCAAAGTAAATTGCAACATCCAAAATGACTCAGATTGATTTCAATCTCGTACCGAATCGTTTCCTTCACTATCAACCATTGTCACACTGCAGTGCACAGTTGTCCACTGGTTTAATATCGCACAGCGTGCCAACCAATTTCACTATCTTTCCAATGTCGTGAAATTGTAGCAGTGGGACAAAAACACTGGCTTAATACCTCGCCAAGCTCCATATGTCACTGTGTTGGCCAAATTATGTTCAATCACCTCTACGATGATTAGTGGAGTCAGATGTATGGAGGAACGTTCAGGGGAGGGGCTGAGCGTCGAACGTTTTACGTTCAATCAGAAACACTGACTCTCGTCCTGATTTTTTTCTTGTTTTTCCAAAACTTCGGGTTAAAATTAAATCTCACAATAACAACGCATTGTGTTTGATCATCTCGCGAAAAAAGCTCCGTTGTCTCAACTTTCACCCACAGCCTGCACCCTCAGATCCCTAACGGAGTTTATTTTCAAACCAAGGTCAATTCGGTTTCCGCAGCTATACATTCGCACTAAGACGACATGTTATGAAGCCGTCGGTGTCAAAACGATCACGTTCTTCACTGAATAATTCACCTCACGCCCCGTCGTTATCTTCTTCTCGCCAGAATTTACATTCTTTGATGTCAATAGCAAAAAAAATAACTCGTTACTGCTTCACTTTACAATAGTTCTCCTTCTTTTCTCTTAGTGATGACGTTCTATATGGTTGTCATGCGTGATGTCTTGAAAAACATCACTGTGGTGTTATTCCTATTGAATTGATCCGAAGCAAAATATCAGTTTCACAGTCTTCTTCATACTTATTTTGACTCTTAGCTATACCGCTGACAAACATGTCGTAGCCTCACCGTTTTTTTACTAGATTTCAAAGAAGACAGCTATTCTTTGAATTCAAAAATAAATGAAGGAAAAGCTATTCCCTTCACAAATCATTTCTTTCTACGTTGACAATACCGCAGGTAGTATTTTTCACTCTTGAATTCTTCCTTTTTTCGGGCTGATCCTCAGAGGACTGCTAAACTTCATTTTTTATAAAGGCATGAAGATTTGTTTGACATTATGCTATGTACCCTCCGCCTTATCTCGATTTCTCGGTGTCGTGTACGAGAATAACCCATTAAGAGGATTCAGTTTGCTCTATGTCGAGCATCAGGTTTTTCTTCTAGAGTCTTCGGAATGAACTTGATCCTTGGATCGGCGTTCTGCCCTACCCGAGCTTGATATTCGACATGAAGCCCAATTGCTGAATACACTTCTCCACTGGCTTTTGTCAAGAGCAATCACAAACCGCGCCCACCTGATTTTCGAGTTTCCTTATAACTTATGTCGCCGCCTTTATCGCTGTGGTGCGTTTGTCGGAGCATGGAAATCATAAATTGCGCCAAAGGCTGTGAGCCAAAAATCCATGTTTTGCTAGGATGTAGTGTGTTTATTGGTTTGTGTTCGGTATAAATGCATGCACTAAAAGGTCATTAGGCAATACTGTATTAAAGTACGCCCGGTTGAATCCAAATGTTTTCATCCGGGGAAAACATTGGAAGCTTGTTCAGGCGTTTCCATCTTCTCACACTACACATATGCTCGGCCTTCTTGAACTTCACCAGAGGACAATTCTAAATGCAACTTGCTTCTATATTGTTCACTCTTGAAAAAGAGTTCAAGTGGCTCACTATGCATAAATCAGATTTACTAACATAGCATTAATCGTTTTTGTTTTCCTGCCTACAAATGTGTTCCTCCTTTTTTCTGCTTCGAACGACTTTTAAAAGAGAATGTGCCAAAGTTCTGTGTCTCAAAAGTTTTATAAAATGTAAGTGAAACATTTTCAGATTCTACCAGCTTGATCTCCTGTATCAATAGAGATAGCAGCTACAAGTAGGTGTTTTCTAATATTTTCTCTACACAACTCAACTTTATTTTGAGGGTAGCTTTAGCAGCGGTGTTTGAAAGATACCTTCCTCGAATAATGGCAAACAAGCGGACCACAGAACGTTTCGATAGATTTGACGCGGGAAATGAAAGACTACTGGGAAATTACATGTGCTAACACTACTTTGCACTTGTGCGTATTTTTAAATGCCAATTTTTTCACTTTTCCACTGTTGCATTGCTGCTTTACTTATCGTGAATAGCGATGTGGCCGGATAGAAACTTCATTAAGAGATGATCTCGCCGAAATCACATCTGCTACCGTAACTCGTCCAAGGGGTTTTAATCGCTTTTGGAAGCGCTGCATTGAATTACTATGCTTATGCAGAAGCTGGTTTCAGATTAATCGAAATCAAAATCGGATTGTTAGCGGAAAAAATTTCTCATTGGCACATGGCCGCGCTCGACACTTTTCCTCAGATCACGTCACTCTCTTCTTCTTCCTCACTCCCTCATGCTCTCACTCATACTCACATACACATACATACGCACATATATACGCACATACTTGCATACATACATACATACACACATACATGCATACATACATACATACATACATACATACATACATACATACATACATACATACATACACACCCACACAAACACAAACACGCAAGTACACACACACACGCCAGCAGATACATATGTCGTTGTGGCCAATATTTTGAAAGACATTTTCCTTTAACTAAATGACGAAAGTGCGTGTATTCAGTTTAATAGTAGTGTGTTGCTGCCTCTTCCTTAATCAGTGCTGCTGAGAATTTCACACGACCGCATTCTGATTTCTTCCTATAAGTTGTGATTCGATTTTTGAACCACCTACGGAAAATGTGGGCAATTTCAATGAAGCGAAAAATCGACCGCCGGCGGAGTAGCGTTGTGACACCAGTGTTGCGTAGTGGGCCGAAAAGGAACCTCAGACCACGATCACTCGCCACCAAATCTCCATCTGTACCCAGAAATATGTTAAAATTTAAGGAATCAGTACTAGTTGTCAAGAAAGTAACTCGTAAGCCTCTGTCTAAGAGCGCTAAGAAAAGCAGACTTAAAGTAAGAAAACTCTCTAAGCTAAGGATTAGACATTTGAGGTGGAGGTGTTTGAAATGCAGACGAGTTTTCAGTGATTTCACATCAACGTCAATCTCCGATCGACATAAGGAGCAATATGATTTGTCATGATCCTGAACACTGCAAGGTGGTTATTTTAAAATAAATTATCTCATCAAATTTTCCCTTCTTATTAATTAGCGTGTTAACCTAGAATTTTGTGAAAAGAAAATAAACCGTAGGAGCATCTTTTCCTACACTTTCAAGCCTCACTCCATGCTTCCGTCTCAAGAGAATCGCTGAGATTTTTTCGTTCATAAATCATTCCCACATTTCTCGTCACCGGACAGAGGTCGTTTCGAAGCATTCTGATGAATAATTGAAAAAAGAGCTAGTTGGACTACAGTAGTTTAAATCCTTTCTTGCATAAACCTAGTAACAAATTAGAAGAGGTAGAAATATGAAGGGAAAACAATTTTCAAAGTGGCCGTAATTTAACCACATTAGCAAAATAATCAACGTGTATTTAAATTGTTGAGCTTAAACGAGGTTGTAAATTTGATCAAATTATTACTCACTTGATACTTGAATGGCCCGTCCTCACTGGTTGTGCAGGCCCCAGCAAAATCTCCATTTTTCGATGATTTGCTGGTGCTAAGCCACTATGGTTCCCTGGAGTCTCGAGGTCAGCCCAGCCAAAGTCTGCCCCAGGTCTTCACCACCACGGGCAGTCGCAGTCCTTGTGGTTCAGAGGGATATTTGCCACCATGCGACTTCGGTACCAGGACGGTGGCGGATCCTGGCATTGGTTTACTCTTAGCTAGGTTTCCTGATGGAAACACCAGACCACTTCTCGGCTTGGGAGACCCTGCCAGTGGATGAATCCCCTGCTGTACATCGCAGTCCGGCACCCAGGAACGCCTCCCAGCCACGACGACGCGGTAAACCGTTGGGAGGGGAGATTGAATCAAAATTTAATCACCATTAGTCACTACTAGATTAACTAATTAAATCAGATTAAATTAAGGCTCTAAATTTTCACGTTCCACATGTAAAAGCTCGTTGAGCGTTCTCTGGATTTCAGCCTGATTCCTTGAATGTCAACTATACAATTGGTGACTGTCATGATGTCATATGTACTTCGACTGGATTCAAAGTGAACGTTGGAAAAAATTGCTCCACTAGTTCGTCTTTCTTTTCTTCCTCTTCAAAAGTCTAAATATTACAGAAGAAATCTAATTGGCAAATATGAAATCTAATCTGCAGACCTGTAATTTAAAAATGCTCGTCTTTTTTTCCAGCGTTATCAGCCAGTCATCTTCCTGGTACATTTGAATTAATACAGTTCCATGCGCATTGGAGCAATGATGGTTCATGTGGCTCAGAGCATCTCCTCAACGGTAAAGCAATGAGCGGTGAGGTTAGTGAGTCAGGTAATCTGACGAAAGCTAGATAATTTTCAAAAAAGTCGTCTGTTTTCTAATCGAGCACGGAAATCTACTCTGTTCCAACAGGAAGGCTTCGTTGTTTATGCAATAGAAAGGAAAACGATTTTTTCTTTCAAACCGACACAATTAGAAAAGGAGAAAATGAGTTTCCAATTTGCAACATTTAAGTTTTTTTGAAGCTTTCATTGCGTTTGAAATGTTCTTCCGCTAAAGAAGCCATTGTTCAGGTTCATTTCGTTTTTTGGAATACTAAGTATAACTCGTTCTCTATGGCTGCCGAGAAGGAAGATGGATTAGCCGTGATTGGCGTTTTCATTAAGGTTCATTAATCATGATATTAGTTCCTTATTCACAGCTCGGTGAATTTTTCTTTCCATTGCTTGGAAATGAAAATGCAATGAAAATGTCAGTTGAAGAAGCTGCTGTTACAACAAATGACTTCTAAATCATTACCATATGGTCGCCAACATCTCAATTTTGATGAGATATCCTCTACACCAATATCGAGCTTATCTATTACAAAATAACTTTGCTGACGCTTAGCAATTGTCTTTCTGTCATTACATGAACCTGTCGGGAATCTAATCTACTGATTTTAAACCAGGTGAACAGTTATCTACATAGAATATCTGCAGAAACTGTATATGAACGCAGTGGCCGAAATTCACTAGGAAAAGAAAATTGCAGATTGTCGTCTCGTGCTGACTTATAGCAAGAATTGTGACCTTCTAGGAGAGAAAACATCTAACGAAAGTTCTTATGAAAACGAAAAACGACTGGATTTCACATTCTACTTTTTCTTTATTAAGGAAGGAGCACATTCCACTAGTTATGCTCCACTATTTGACGTCATCCAGAAAGCAATCGGTTCAACGACGCCAATCCTAATGCCAAAGGAGTTTGTTCTTGATCAGCTTTTGCCGCCTTCTGGTTAGTTGTTCAAATTTCACCTCACACAATAGAACCTGACGCAGTAAATTGCAAAAGTGAAGTGAATAGAATGGAAAAATGAATGTGCAACTTAGGAAGCTCATTAAATGTGAGTGTTGAATGTTTCTCTGAAAATATTTTCCTTATCCTCTAAAGATTTAAATTCAGTTCGATGTCAACTAAGTTTACTGGATATGACAACAAAACCTTGGCTATGATGTGTAGTCAGTACACAACTTATTTATGATTTATTTCCCTTCCTCATTTCTTCCATCCTTCCCTTTTTCCTTTTTGGAGTTGTTAGTGCTGCAGTCCAATATGGAAGCTCTTGGTTCTGTTTCTAGCGCTCTCCCCAAATCCTCGTGGTAACGCCCTAGCCCAGATATTTCTAAGATTGCAAGGCCAATCGATTCGACTAGCACTCTACGACATTCATAAAGAGGACGACAATAATAAACCAGCAACCGAGGCCAAGCATGAAATGCTCGAGGATCATCGTGGATGAGGAATGCGAGGAAAACGAATCGATTGCAAGAAGTGTTGGGATCCCCACAGTAGATGTGATGATGGGCCATGCAATAATAATAGTAACATTAATCTTTCTACTTCTGTTCAGCAAACACGAGGTGCTATTTTATTTCTTTATTTACGCACAAGCTGACGTTTCGGCGGATTTCGCCTTCCTCAGAGCCTGGAAGGGTCAACTTGACAGCAATCCATTCGGCCAAACACCTCAATAACCAAACAGAGAAAACGCTAAACCAAGATTTCAACCACATTTAGCAGAGCTCTGCACACTCACCGCTTTCTAGGGTTGAGACCGCGTTTCTCACCATCTGAACCAAGATCAAAAAACATAAGACTATCGGTTAGTGATAAGGGTGGAGAGTTCGTTGTAATTCCCCATCAGTTAGATGTTGAGATAACGGAAAAGCACCTTGAGGATGCTTCTCTTTATCGTTCGTCGTCTGAGAAGGAATTTAAAAATCATTACCGAAAGTTAAACAACGAATGGGTTAAAGTGGCAAGAGCGGCAGGGATAAAACCATCAGTTATCTCTCATCTCAAAATTGACTTACCAACATGTCCCGTCCTGTACTTACTTATCAAAACTCATAAGTTAGTATCCAGCGATGATCTCGTGTCTACCGATCCATCGTTATTTAAGGTTAGACCTCTCATTAGCTGCGTAAACGGGCCAACGGATAGAATAGCGTGGTTAATAACCCTAATACTTACTCAGTTGTTGAAGTACATTCCAGCTCATCTAACGAACACCCAAATGTTCCTGGATCGTCTACGTAACGCGAGACCCAACAGCGCGTACGTGGTGGAGTCCTTCGACGTCACTGCCCTGTATACGAACGTGTCGAATGACTCCGCTATGCAAGCCATAAACGACCTCCTTATACAACATGAAGAAGCAATAAACATGTACGGCTTCTCGATTCAGCAGTTGATGACACTCTTAAAGGAGTGCCTAAACTGCTCAATCTTTAGATGGTCCGGAAGGTATTACGCACAAATGAGAGGGATGGCGATGGGACAACGACTGGCACCAAGCCTTGTCGTTTCATACATGTCTAAGGTGGAAGCGTCAGTAATCGACCTCGGTCCGTTACTCTACTGTAGATATATAGATGACTGCTTGGTCATTTGTTCAACACAAAAGGAAATTGACAGATGCTTCGAATTGTTGAACGAACAGTCAGAGTACATTAAATTCACCCGAGAGAAACCAAAAGAAGACTGGCTTCCATTTCTGAACGTGCAAATTAGCCTATCAGAAAACGGCTACATTACGAAGTGGTATCGAAAGCCAAGTAGTAAAAACATCCTAGTTCTTTACCTCTTCTCTCACTCCTCTCACACGAAAAGGGCGCTTGTGAGAAACATGTATCGAACAGCTACCAGCGTGTGCACAGGAAGACAACAGAGAGAGGAGTACCGGAACTTGGCGCGGCAAATAGCCATTTTTAATGGCTACGAAACCGTAGCTCGAGATAGGTGTAGAGGAAACCACAGGTACCCCAACGATAACTCTAGCGACAACAAGGTCCCATTTATACTGCCCTTCATTTCAAATGAAGTAAGTGCAGCTATAAAACGCTGTTTAGGAAGGGCCAGTCTAGAGAATTCGGTAACGATAATTGAAATACCACCGAGTAATCTAAGACGCCGGTTAGTTCGTAACCGCCTATACGACCGTCTATGTGCAACGCAAAATTGCATAATTTGTCGCAATGGTAGAGACGGTGACTGCATGAGTTCGGGTACAGTCTATCTGATCTCTTGTAAAGCGTGCGGGGACGAATACGTTGGCGAAACGGGTAGACCACTCTCTCTGCGTACGTATAAAAGAACACCTAGTCGGTAAACGTAAGCTAAGTACTCCACTAGGTATGCATAGCACGCAGAAACATAACGGAGAAGATTTTGAAGTAAGGGTTACGATCCTCGGGCAAGAATCGAGAACACAAGCGCGCAAAACTCTAGAGGCATTCTGGATTAATTCCAAGAATCCGAAAATGAACCGCAGGGAGGAATGCCTCGTTATCACGCGTGATATTAGACAGTATATACGCCTGTTATTCTGATGGGAGCGGCACATTACGCTTCCATGTGAATTCTGTGCGGTCGGTCTTCACGCGACATACTCAGTGGAAGACTCATAGAAAGCGGTGAGTGTGCAGAGCTATGCTAAATGTGGTTGAAATCTTGGTTTAGCGTTTTCTCTGTTTGGTTATGGAGGTGTTTGGCCGAATGGATTGCTGTCAAGTTGACCCTTCCAGGCTCTGAGGAAGGCGAAATCCGCCGAAACGTCAGCTTGTGCGTAAATAAAGAAATAAAATAGCACCTCGTGTTTGCTGAACAGAAGTAGAAAGTTATATTCAATCAGTGCCGAGGTTAATAGAAAGTCGAACTTGGGGGTAACATTAGTAATAACAATACTTTTTGCATAACTAAACTCTTATTTCCCGTATATAAGCTACACTTGGACGTAAATATTACAATTTTCCACGTTGATTTCAAACCTGGGTGTTTCAACTTGAATATTCATGAAGTAGAAGTCACTAGAATGCATAGATTTGTGCTAGCAAAATATTTTATTATAAGATATAATTATAATTTCAATAAGATACATTTTTCATCGAGGCTCATCTTACCGGATGCAAAGCATTTGAATCGCCTGGGCCAAATGTGAAGCGGAATTACTTCAAAGACAACGGGGTATTTGAATTGCCAATTTTGCATTTAAAAGCAACGTCTTGAAATTATAGACACATATACGAATGTCATCTAGAAACAGTTAATTTATATGCATATAAGGCTTTATCTTTTATATATTTGTATACATATATGTATATATTTATAAGAAGCAATGAAGCGCAGTATGTTTGGCGATAGAGCTTAGTATCCTACAGCATTTTGCATTTGTAACAGAAAATCATGCAGAATATGATAGCACGTCTTTAGACGTTTTTTGCACTACAAGACAAATTTTATTGCATCAAAGTTGGGCCTTGTTGTAGTCACAAAACAAGAACAACTTGACAGGAAAGAACGAACCGAAGAGATGTTGCGGATGGGATTAATCGAATAGATTTAGCAGCATGAGATTGAGTCAAGTTATTGCACGAAGTTATCATTTTGGTCTTGATAACACCAAACAAGGTTTTTGTTGTAGATAAACGTGATTATGTCACATATCTTGGTTCACTTACCACACCGCCATACTCGGAATCAGTTATATGGACCGTTCTCACTACTCCAGTTGAGGTATCAAATGACCAGGTAGGTCCAGCATTCACTCATCTCAAAAGATCTCGGAGCTGTGTTATGGGTTTAATCGATCGAGTTTAATTTAAGCTGAATATCCTTCGAAAAATCGTCTCGGAAAATTATCGAGAATGTCAACAACTCTGCGAACGAACAATACGGGCGTCAATCGCGAAGGTTTAGAGAGTGGAGGATAAAACTTGATCAGTTAAATAATTCTATTCATATGAGGTGATATCTGATCGCGTATAGTGCTCTTACAACATGAACAATGAAGCATCACTGGATGCTCCCTAAGAAACTAACGTGTACTTCGCCATCCCCGTTTCGCTTATACCTTTTTTTGCTTCTTTTCTTTTGATTTCGCTGTTCATTACGACGCTAATGAATGTATTTAAAGCGGAAACCGAGTGATATAGTAGTATCACTACTAACCGGTTTAGAAACTTGTGATTCGTTGCTATGCTTTGAAATGCGACAATTTTAAGCTTCAAGTATGATACTCTAATAAATCGTCTACATGCCAACGAACAACAGGAATTGCCTCGGAGAGGTTTTTATTGAATGCAGTACCGGAAACGATGTTGACTGAACAGTAGTTAACCATCCTAATTTAATCCTGATCAACAAGCCAACGGCTAATGCTGTTTTCTCATTTATGTGCGCATACGGCATTACATGTTTGATATTTGCACAAGAACTACAATATGGCTGACATGCTAGAAGATAATCTAGCCTTTAAACTCTGGTCTCATTTTGCTCAAATCGAAGCTCACATTACTTGTAGTAACAAGACCTGTCAGAACCCATTCATTCTTCTCAATATAGTTTTATTTAAGCTTTTTTCTCTCACCACGTCAAAATTCTGGTTTTCCCACTGTCTCAAGTCCTTCAGTTTTTCGGTTCTTATTATCAAGGATAGAATCCCGTACGGTATACAAGACATACAGAACTCCGTCCAGTAGGACACATACTTTTGCCGAGTATATCGTCGACATCGCTAACTACTGCACTTGTGTTAATTTCTTCAATTTTATTTCGTCAATAGCATTTTGACCGTAATACTATAGTACTGAAATTGTTGGCTACCAACCGATTGAAAACCTCCATGGTAAATGTGTTTACGAGGCTTACTGTATGTCTATCAAACTGAAGACAGCATTAACGATAACGTTAAAAAGGACCTTTTTAGAATAAAACATGGAAAGATTTCACGGTAGTTATGCAGTTACAAAATTTCGTTGGCGGAATGGAATTTTCTCCACCCCAACGGCTTTCATCTATGGCATAATATGTTTCTCAGTGTTGAACTACGGTGCATGAAGAGAGTTTCATCACTACAGCAAGGTACACCTACAAGCTGAGAATAAATCGTTGGCAAGAATCGTTGATATGTCGGCAGTACCATAATGACTGATTGGCAATTGGAGGTGGCTTAAAATCTCCCAGACGGCCTTGACGCTGAAAATTAAAAGACCTGAACAATCAGCAGTCTATCAGGTGCGCGGAAATTGTGATGGGACCTGTACCATTCCTAGTAATTCGTGAAGACGAACCAATCTCATAGTTAAGTCAGCAATAAAATCAAAAATTTCTTTTTTGCCCACAGTCAAAGTGCAAAATTATATCGACAATCTTGTTTTTCTCTGGAACACTATTGCTTTGCAAAGAATTACTAAGAAGGCGCCATGTAATGTTAATGAATGGCGGCGGAAAGGAGTTGCTTACAAACCCACTATTTTTCAGCACTGTGCTGTACTAAAAAATATTGATTGGGTGCGTATGCATATGTAATGGGTACATGAATTTTGCTAAGAAAGAGAGCAGCTTTGAAGATTATGTATGGTTAGTTTTTATCAGTTATGTAGATGCCTCGATTGCATTTCATCACATGTTGGTCGGCCCACAGGACACTGGCGCCGAACGAGTTGTTCCCCAGGGACCTGAAAGAAATTGGCGACGGCGTAATGGAAAACAGAATTGATGGGTGTTGTGGAGGAAGAGGAGAGCAATCGGCATTATTGGGTAGCGTTTTTTGTTTGCTTTCAATATTAGGGAGGGAAGAGCTGAATGAGAGAGTTCCAATATTTGAGGAGCGCTGTATTAATGGGCCACCAAAAGCAAAATCAAAATCTAGAATGAGACTTTTTCATGGACAGTAAAGGATAAAAGAATAAAGCGTTCTGGATTGATTAATTTTTGAGACACACGTCATGCGTTCCAGTTCACTAAGCATTGCTAGAGGTGATTCAGTGCATGTTTGGCCTATACAGTGAATTGCAGTGGCCAACCGATATACAAACTCTGCGTTTTTATCCCTCATACAAACCTTATACCGATTTATGATCTCAGAGAAATGAAAGACTCTGCAAATCCTGGGAGTGGGACTGAACCATTGATCGAATGTGCATCGTACATTAGTGCGCATTGCAAATCACCCGTATTCACTACGCTGCACTCGTCGCTTGTGGGAACAGTACAAGGAAGTTATTTATGCTTAAATCCAATATGGTTGTTTGAAAAGGTTCAGTGCGAAAGAATATTGGTTGATGCTCACATCAGCTCTTGAAATCATCGAACATAGTGGTCAGGGCTCCACTTTACGGTACTCATTTACTAAAACAGTAAGCACCATCATGGCAAAGTATCACATAGCGTATCTAATATCTTTTAGAACTATTTTCTCAAACGCCTGTCTGTAAATATCGGAGTTGCTGTTGCTCATTAGTTAAATATAGTTTGCTCTTTTCTCCCAATTGTTTACCCTTCTATCACGATTGGGAGGTGTTTCTGGGTGATCAAATGCAATATACAACGGTGAAGTCATTCTTCCGACAGGGCCGTCTCAGACAGCTCAGAGTGGACATGTGTCGGGAATCGATATCGTCATGGCAGAACTTCATCCTAAAGAGTACAAAGCTCATTCCAATTCGTAGCGCTAATGAATAGCCGTGATTACAAGCTGTTTACGTCTTTACAGCATTACCTGAGTGAGTGGGAAAGGTAAATTTTGCGAAGACGGGTCTTTCAAACACTGAAGTGTAACTAATTTAGGCGCAATATAATTATATTGCTTGAGATAATGAAATGAGATATTTCCTCGCAAAGATTGTTTGTCGTACTTCTTGAGACGTGATGTGAAGTTCCGCCAGCATTTTTTTATCTTATTGAAGCCACTTAAGTTTCAAATCTTGATTACTTGCTACCATGTTTCAACGTGCTGTCCTATTTGTTCGTTTGCTTGATTTCGTGTCACTTAACGGCTACGAAATGAAGCTCTTTAAGGGCATCGTATTATAAAAAGATCTAGAAAGCGTTACAAATACCATGCATGCCACTTTTCAGTTTTTGTTACGACCATTAGCCCTGCGTGTAGATTCAACAGTTCACTGGCCTCTGAACGAAAAAATGTATACTAGATGTCTCATCTTCGGCAATCACCCGTATCATCTCTCGTCTTTGGCGTGTCGAATGACTGGAGTCGGTGCCAGTAAAACAGTGATGAGATATCACAATGAGACAAGGGTGCGGGTGGAACAAAATCGCAGTCACCATCGCGTCTAAAACGCCGAAAAGTGTAGCAATGTCGATCATCGAGCAGTCGTCAGTTAATCACAGTGTTGCCCCCCTATACCACCTTTTAAGAAACGGGGAGCTCTCGTGGCCGAAGCCTGCGAAAAACACAGCATCTAAGAAATACAGGGAAACCACTTGGACCAGTGTTTTACATACAAATAATGTGGCGCCCACAGCCCTTTAAGTCGGAACCGAATCCGTTCGCGAATCCAAGGTTCTCTGTGAGTGATTATGGCAGAAAAACGGGACTAACTGTAGGAAGTGCTAGTGTCTGCCCGGCGTTTCAGGATAGGTCATCTAGGCAAACAGATATATGGTGTCGCTCCTGTAATCACTTCTAGACAAAAGGAGGTAGATAGATGTGTCAAACAGCTAAATAAAGACAGAAAGGGTAAACGACGCTAATAGGAGAGAAAATGACAAAACTGTTTTGTTTTAGACGGTTCTGAATGGGTGGGCTGGAGAAGTAAAGAAGAAAGAATCGTTTAGCTTATCACGGCAAATAGCTATCTTTGGATTTCTACAGAGCAGCAGTACTTCAAGTTGTGTTGAAAATGTCATTTTCTAGAAAGATCATTTTAGATATACCAGCACACTGTTTCACCGCGTTACGTAGACGATCCAGGAACATTTGGGTGTTCGTTAGATGAGCTGGAATGTACTTCAACAACTGAGTAAGTATTAGGGTTATTAACCACGCTATTCTATCCGTTGGCCCGTCTACGCAGCTAATGAGAGGTCTAACCTTAAATAACGATGGATCGGTAGACACGAGATCATCGCTGGATACTAACTTATGAGTTTTGATAAGTAAGTACAGGACGGGACATGTTGGTAAGTCAATTTTGAGATGAGAGATAACTGATGGTTTTATCCCTGCCGCTCTTGCCACTTTAACCCATTCGTTGTTTAACTTTCGGTAATGACTTTTAAATTCCTTCTCAGACGACGAACGATAAAGAGAAGCATCTTCAAGGTGCTTTTCCGTTATCTCAACATCTAACTAATAGGAAATTAACTGATGAAAATACTATTTCCTTCTTATCTCTGTAAAACAGAATATCAACAGATTAATGTTACTCACTAATATTTAAGTGTCGTACCACCATGAACACTCAACGACACACTGAAGTTTCAATTAGGCTGGAACTACAGGGAACTTCAGAAAATGTTTTTCTCTTACGAAATCTTGACGTGAGAGCATTCAGAAATTTGGCCAATTTTGAAAAATTCATTAATATGCTTTAGACACGTGAGAATGAGGACAGTGAAAATCTGCCACTCAAAAAGTGCACTGAGAAAGCTGTCCATCGAATCGCTTTTCTTCTTTTTTTGCTCAACTGTGCAACCATTCGAAAACAAAAGGTCCTATGGGCTTGCCATTCAGTTAACTTCTTCTCACTAATGGTGAATTTGCACTACTGAAAGCTACGGATTTTCCTCTGTAATTTCGCTTTTAATTAGCGGTGATGCACTTCGTTCCCATTCTGACGAAGTTGCGTTGCAATCACAACTGAGTTGTGTTTGCACATGTAATGTGGTTTGCTACCACAGCTGTTGTACACTTCTCTCTCCATTCAGCCGGAGTAAATTTTTCTGTATTCATC